GCATTCATTGATTTTATTGGTAAGCTTTGAGCAAACATCACCGATTATTTATTTTAATTTATCTTATTTCTTGGCTTTCCGAGTAGAAAATATGGCCTCAAGGTTGATCTGTGAAGTTTTACTGGCGCTAGTTTTTTACGGTGTGAAGTTTCTAGTCTCACGCTCAACCTTTGCTCTTTGTCTGGCTGAAAACCTCCTAAGTTGGCGGGGAGGGTAAAGGTGTGAGCTTGCCGGGAATGGAACCCCAGGCCAAGTGCATGGTTCGCAAGCATTCTATCGGTGAATAACTGACGCAAACAATTATCAATGTAGTGTATAAAAATTACTCGACTGATACCTCACAATATCGGAAACAGTCTTGTTACTAAAGACATACTTCATTTGAAGTAAATTGGTGGATGGTGACTGGCAGTGGAATCTAGAACGCGCATTTCATCCTATTTGGGACCAGTTATCCAGATGTACCTGCATTCCCCCAGTGAGTCAGTGATAGCACTTCTTCACTGGGGCTAGAACCCAGTACCCATCGTTTCAGACTCCAGAGTATTATCCACTAGACCATCCATACTAATTTCCCCCAAGTTTAATAATCATACATTGAAGAAGCATCTGCACAAGGAGCCGACACGTCAACCTGAAGCCGAGTGCTTTGGTCCAATCAATCAACAGGAAAGTCCAAAGTGAATTAAATGACATAATTCATTGTTCACAATGCTTTCCTCTTAATGATGTTGTCTAAACAGTATCATGCTTCTCTAAAGTTAGCTAGGGCAAGGTAACGTACTGGACAATAGGCATGGTCTGTGTTGCACAGCCAGGGATCTATCACATTAGAGCTAAAGACAACATAAAGGTTGATACAACTTTAAAATATCAAAATAAGCTTTATGCGGTGTTAAAGCCTCTTTTTAAAAGATCATACCTGCCGCACTATAATATCATTATTATTGCTCCCTTGGGTTCTGAGTGCAACATAGGGCTTCAACAGTACATCTTCACTACATCCTACTTTCTGCGATCCTACTTAGCTTGCCCACGATTGCTCTCTTCTACAGACATTAAATAAACAAATCGATCCTTCAAACTTCATCATAGAATATATCATAAAATTGAATAAAAGTAGTGACATTTTGGTATCCCTGATGGAAACCAGTGGTTGCTGTTTCTTCATAAGCTCTTATTAAACTGTTTCAGTCTGAGTAGATTGCCTTGACTAGTATAGTATACTTCTTCAGTGCTCCTTTCACAGTTAGATATAGCTAAGATGTGCTCCATTTGACAGAATCAAATGCCACCTTCAGGCGAACAAACGCTAATGTTCCTATGTTCTAAAACCAGTCCGAATCTGAAGGCTATCTAATATTTTTGGATTTGTCTTTATGCAGCTTAACCTGGTCTTTGGAGGACTACGGATCTTAAAATTTTAGATACTATGCTTGTCAAACTGATCTTCTTGTGACTTTGTGTAAAAGGAGAATTTTTTCCCTCTCTTATTAACCGGTATGACGAATAATTCACACTGGTTCGCTGAAATCAACTGGGAGTTCAGTATACCGGCTAACACCATCAATGAATGCTCCTCAAGTCACACCATTAGCTACTGCTGACTGAAGGTACTTTGAATTAGAGACAGTCTTTGAAGCCTCAGTCGCGGTTGAAAGACTGACATTCTCATCGCATTCAGGTGGCAGTTGAATAGTGAGCAGCTGTAATGTGGCTGTAAACCAATGTAACTGCTCCTCAAGATGTACTCTACCCAAAGTTACTACCGTCTCTACTTTATGAAGATCATTTCACCTGTCAATTGTCATCAACAGCCTCTTTACCTAATAAGCCTAAATAACTTATGGTTATAAAATATTTTCTCCACAGTAGACTGGTTTCGATGCCAGGCTTCCTTAGGATGAGTCCTGCTATCACTTTGAAGTATGTGTCTAGTTATCTCCCTCCTAAATTCAAAATTCGTGTTCTCAACAAAATGCTGGATATGTAAAGGCTTCGTGAATACTTTTCATATATCTATACTATAATCAATTTATGTAGGATTCAAGCATTGAATCAACGTTTTTTTACACGAAGCTGGCATATTAGAAAGGTTAACAATGATTACTTAATTTTATTCCTTTACGTTCCGAATGGAACATTTGTCTTCAAGCAGTTGAACTCTGAAGTTTTAGTAGCGGTGGTTTCACTTTTACGAGCTGGGGTTGTTAGCCTTACTTCCAATCTTCCCTCTTCACTTAGCTTACTACCGGCTTAGGGAGGTTTAAGAGTGTGTCAACAGGTTGTCAAACCCGTGCCCATATGGGGCATGGTTAGCGAGAGTATCACCGCCGAACTACAGACGCTAAAAACCAGGGAGTACTGGGCAGTCCTTTCGTCCTGATTTGAGACTCATTGACAATACCCACCCACTGGAGTTCGAACCCAGGACCTGCTCCTGGTTACAAGGCAAGCTCTTAGACAATTCAGCCAATGGGACCCTCAAAAATGCTCCTTTTTTGAGGGTCCCAGTGGCTGAATGGTATAATATAAGGGACGAAGGGTATATGCTCATATTACTATGCACAGCGAATCAGAATAGTTTCCATAAATCGGAACTAATGAGTAACGTTGAGTTCAGTACGCTGAATTAATGCGTTAGAACATTTATGAAAAATGATAATATGAACATGTTTTAGCAAATAACTAAAAGCAGTGGTCCTGTTCTAACCATAATTATTAATGAAATGAAAAAATTATGACAGAAAATAATGAGATCAATACTAAATGTTGTAGTAATGTGAAGTCAGTGCTACTATACGGATCAGAGACTTGGTGTGTCGTAAAGAGCATCTCAAAACTACAGACCTTCATTAACAGCTGTCTTCGCTCAATACTACTCAAGATCAGATGGCCTGCCAGAAAAGATCAGCAACAGAGATCTCTGGGAGCGAACCAACACAGCAGGGTTCGATTGTGAAACAAATAGGCAGGCAGAAATGGAGATGGATTGGCCATAATCTGAGGAAACAAACCATCAAGTGACATCACTAGACAAGCCATTGTTCGAGTGGAACCCGAAAGGGAAGCGGCGAGTTGGTCGTCAGTGCAAGGGTGACTTGGAGGAGGTCATGTGAAGAGGAGATGAAAGCATTTGGGTAGACTTGGAGCCAGGTGAAGACTCTAGCAGAGAACCGAACGCAATGGAGACGCACGACTGAAGCCCTATGTTCCTCTAGGAATTAAAGGAAACAATAATGGTAATGATAAAGTAATCATCCAGACAGACAACAGAGTTTTACTACTTATTATACTTCACTGACTCTCCCAACATGGCAGGAATAGGTTGAACTACAGCATTGGCCCTCACATTCTAAGGATCAACTCGAAATCCTCCTCCTGGACAGCAGTGCGTAGTGGAGTGCCACAAGGCACGGTACTCGGACCTATCCAATTTATTTTGTATATCAATGAGTTATCACCGCTCACCGATTCCCTTATGGTCCTATACGCAGATGACTTAAAAAGTTGGAGAGAGCTGAAGCGCAACAGTGATACACTCACGTTGTAAGAGGACCTCAACAAATTGTCAAAGTGGTCCAGAGAATGGATGCTTCCTATAAATGCAGAAAAATGTGCAACCATTCGCATCGGACACGCAAGCATCAGCTTCTACGAGCTAGACGGAATAACACTTCCATCAGTTCAGACTCACCTGGACTTAGGCGTCATAGTTAGCCACGACTTAAAAACTACAGCACACTGTCGCGCGGTGGCTACATGCAGTTTCAGATCCTTATGGGCAGTTCGCAGGGCCTTTACTAGAATCACCAGAGATATGTTCACCTCATTATTTACATCTCTGGTGAGGTCAAGACTGGAAAACTGTATCCAGGTAGCCAGTCCTTGTTTTAAACGGGACTGACATATTCTAGAAAGGGTTCAAAGAAAGGCAACACATATAATTCTCGGCACGACTAACTTGTCACACGAGGAAAGATTAGACAGTTTAAACCTCTTCCCCCTGTCATACCGTAAGCAGAGAGGTGATTTAATTAGAATGTTTAAAATTTTAAATAATAACTACGAACCTGATCTGTTCTCTCTTTTCTTTCCCAGCAGGTCGAAACACCTTAAGGGACATAGCTGGACAGTTCAAAAGCCAAGAAGGAATGATACTGCTGTTAAGTACTGGTTCTCACACCGAACTCTTGGAACCGAATCCCAGAAGAAGTGGTGTCTGCAACCTCAAGTTATTCATTCATGAAGGGTTTGGAAAACCACAGAAATTTACTAGAAAATGATTAACATAGGCTCTAAGCCTTCTATCGTCAACCAATAAATTTAAGTCTAGATCTGAAATCTGGTGTTGTTTTTAGTGATATCCTTCGTGCTTCAACGAAATCTTCCAACCAAATCTACTGCCTAGGGAGTAAACAGTTGTCTGCATATATATATATATATATATATATATATATATGATACAAAACGTAATCCACATTCAACGTTTTAGGGCAATTTAACGAAATGATTTTGGAGGGACTACTGCGAGGCGCATCAAAATCTCGGTAGTCACCCCATACCTAAACTTTTCTTCAAATACACCGATATAATTAACTGAAATCCCACCCTTTTTGGTGAACGCAGCCCTTTTATCTCATCATTAAACTTCAACTTTTTATCGGAGTGTCTTCTTTTACCGTTTGGAAATTTTAGGTATTTTACAGCGTTTTGCTGCGAACAAGTCAGAAAATAATTAATTAACTAACTAATTTAATCAATTACAAATCCATCTAAAAACTTATTAAGTCGTGTTTACATATTTCAGAGATCTATATTCTAGAAAAACAGTTCAAATCAATAAGCTTTAAACTGCGAAAGAGATTAACTATGTATGACTGAAACTTTCAGGCATTTTTAGGAGACAAAATTGCGGTATCTACATAGACAGTGAGACAGAGGGCACAAAAATGGAATTCCAATTGATATCAAACAATATGTCTTACGCATGTGTATACCTGTCCGTAGGTACGAATAAACATTACAATATTTGTTTGTCCCGCATCAAAGTACAACTTGGTTATAAAATTTGTTAGCGTGATAAAAGCAAAACAATTTTCTGCTGCATTCAAGGATCTGAATCTACTAGTTGACCTGAATTTTACGTTTAAGAAACCATTTCTGCTATTGAAGAGATATTATTACGGAATCAGGTATCACTAGCACTCATTGTTGCTGGTAGATTTCAGATTTATTGTTTGAGGATAGAAGGCTTGGAGCCTATGTTAATCCTTTTCTAGTAAACTTCTGTGGTTGTCCAAACCCTTCTTGAACGAATCAACTGAGGTTGCAGACACCACTTCTTCTGGGAGTCGGTTCCAAGAGTTTATGACTCTGTGTGAGAACCAGTACTCAACAGCAATATGATTTCTTCTTGGCTTTTGAACTCTCCTGCTATGTCCTCTAAGGTGTTCCGACCTGGTGGGAAGGAAAAGAGAAAATAGGTCAGGTCCGTAGTCATTATTTAAAATTTTAAACATTGTGATTAAATCTCCTCTCTGCCTACGGTATGACAAGGAGAAGAGATTTAAACTGTCTAGTCTTTCCTCGTATGATAAGTTAGTCATGCCATGAATCATACGTGTTGCTTTCCGTTGAACCCTTTCTAGAATAAGTGAGTCCCCTTTTAGACAAGGGCTGGCGGCCTGGATGCAGTTTTCCAGTCTTGACCTCACCAGAGATGTATATAAGGAGGTGAACATATCTCTGGTGATTCTAGTGAAGGCTCTACGAATTGCCCATAATGACCTGAAACTACGTGCAGCCACCGCGCGACAGTGTGCTGTAGTTTTTAAGTCGTGGCTAACTATGACACCTAAGTCCAAGTAAGTCTGAACTGATGGAAGTGTAATTCCCTCTAGTTCATAAGAGCTCGTGCTTGCTTGTCCAATGCGCATGGTTGCACATTTTGTCACGTTTATCGGGAGCATCCATTCTATGGACCACTCTGACAATTTGTTGAGGTCCTCTTGCAACGTGGACGTGTCACTGTTGCCCTTCAGCTCTCTCCAAATTTTTAAGTCATCTGCGTATAGGACCATAAGGGAATCGGTGAGTAGAGATAACTCATTGATATACAAAATAAATAGGAGAGGTCCAAGTACCGTGCCTTGTGGCACTCCGCTGCGTACTGCTGTCCAAGAGGAGAGTTTCGAGTTGATCCTAACCCTCTGCCTCCTATCTATGAGGAATTCCCTGAGCCAGTTTAGTAAGCTGCCTTTGATACCAAGACTTTCCAACTTCATGAGTAGTCTTTTGTGAGGTACTTTATCAAAGGCTTTGCTGAAGTCTATGAAGACGACGTCAACGGGTCTTCTGTTGTCCCTGGATTTAACCCAGCTTTCTCTTGCAGTGAGAAGATTTGACAGGCATGAGAGGTTCCTTCGGAAGCCATGCTGTTCTCTTGATAATAAGCTTCTGTTTTCTAGATATGCCACTATGCTTTTCTTGATGATTCTCTCCAGTGTCTTAATTAAAGTGCTGGTGAGACTGATAGGCCTGTAATTTGAAGGGCTTTGTCTTGATCCTCCTTTGTGGATGGGGGTTACTATGGCGTCTTTCCAGTCACGCAGTAACACTCCATTTTGGAGAGAAAGCTTGAAGATCGTAGTCAAAGGGCCGGCTATGTGTGCTGATAACTCCTTGAGAAGCCTTGGGTGAAGATTATCAGGACCCATTGATTTCCCTGCATCTAGTTTCCTTAGGCAGTTGAGCACGATGCCTTGGTCGATGTCAATGGAATCTATCCCATGTTCTTCTGATGCAGCCAGAGCTGATCCTATAGGCTGTGACGACTCCTGAGTGAAGACTTGGGAGAAGTAGTTTGCCATTGCTTCTGCTTTTTCTTGATCTTCTTCGATTGTGTCATTGTCGATAGTCAGGTTTGGGACACCACTGGATGTTTTATTCCTGAAATTCATGTACGAGAAAATTTTCTTAGGTTGTGCCTTTGCATTTTGAGCCAGGTGTGCTTCGAATTTCATCCTTGATTTGCGGATTTCTGCAATAGCTTTATTTCTAGCAGTGTTGTATAATTGCCTGGTCTCAGAAGTCTCAAGTGTGGCAAACAAGTTCCAACATTTGTGTTTACGTCTAAGTAACTTACGAATCTCTCGGTTTATCCAAGGAGGGCAGTGTTTCCGACCCTTTGGGACAGACCAAGGGATGAAAGGTTCAGTTACTTGGGCGTAAAGTTGTTTAAATTGGTTCCATGCGGCTTCTACTTGAGACTCTGGGTTGACGTACCAGTTTACTGAGTTGGCTGCTGAGACGATTGCATTTATATCAGCTTTCCAAACGTTTGGTCGAGATGGGGTTTTGGCCCTTGCTGCCATTGCTGTGAACTTGAAAGTGAGCACAGCATGGTCACTTCTTCCTAAAGGAGGAAGATGTTGTATGAGATCTACATCCTCACCATGGGAGAACACTAGGTCCAGAGTTGAGGAGGAGTGCTGTGAGTCATAGCGCGTGGGCTCGATGATATGTTGGACTAGAGCTAACGATATACTAGATTCCAGCAGTTTATAGTCAAAGGAGTTGACTGAGGATGGAGTTGTTAGGCTCGTCCAGTCAACTGTTGGGGCATTGAAGTCGCCAACTACGAGACTTCGACATTTCGAGGTCCAGGAGCCTAGCTTCTCTATCAGGAAGTCATCTGCACTGCAGTTAGGACTGCGGTACATAGCAATGAGGTCAATGTCTTGGCCTATGCATTTAAGTCTGCAGCGTAGAAGTTCGCACGACTCACTTTCGTGAGCGAGTGCTTCGATACTACGCACGGTTAAGCATTTCTTGAGGTAAATGACTACGCCACCTCCTTTGCGGTTTAGTCGGTCTACCCTATGCACTTCGAAGTTTGGCAGGTTAACTTCGCTGTCAGTGACATCGGGTGTGAGCCATGTCTCTGTGATAATAATTACATCCGGGTTTCCGGAGTCTATCATGTTAACCAGCTCAGTCCGTTTATTTAACAGGCTGCGGGCGTTTGTGTAGCAAACTGTTAATCCAGTTTGGTGCTTCCCCGGCCTACCCACAGAGGTTTCGGGATCATTAAACTGCGAACTTGAACAACCCGAAAACCCTTAATCTTAAGGTTCTTTTCGCCGTTTCGGCGTCGTTCGCTTAATTCTAGGGCCACAGACTGTCTTTTGATACGGTCTGCCAGGCTTAAGTCGGCGCGGACATATATGCCTGATCCTTTAAGTATATGAGAGTTGCTTAGAATAGCATCCCTCTCTTCCTTAGAGTTTAGTACGACTTTGAGGAGACGTACAGGCTGACTTACTGTAGGGTCAGGCTTTTGGCCTATTCTATATACACTGTGTATAGTGACGCCTGATACTGTTTGTGGCAGTAGCTTGTCTAAAAGGGGCTTAACCAAGTTAAGGTCATGCTCAAATCTAGTCTTGGGTTCGGGGGCCAATGACTCTTCCACTCTGTGGAGAATGAGCGACCTGTCAGAGAGATCAGGTTTGCTTGCCGTGGTTGTCTTGCTCTGCGGCGTGAATGTCTTCCTTTCCTTCGTGGGCAGTGTGGCCAATGTATTGTCCTTGTCTCGCTTTTTGCGAGAGACTACGAAGTTGGAAAGAAAATGAGAAAACCTCAGAAGTTCACTCCCACTATATTACCACAACCCACCCACTTCTTTCTCATATAAAATTCATCATATGATAACTTGAACAAACGTTCCTTTAATGCGACCATTCTAAGGATATCTACAGTTTCTATGATCACTTCAGTGTAATTTCCACTGTGCCAAGGACTAAACTAAGCAGACCGGACTAACTTCACTGAACAAAGCCCATATATGAATGTTTGAAACTCCTTAAGTTTTGCATTAACAGGTACGCATGCGACCAAGCTCGGACGTTAATTACATCTACTCATTTGTTTTGGTAATAAGGACATGCTCAGAGACCATAGTTTAGCGCCACTATCCAGACAAGTTCCAACAGTCCTTCCCTAAATAACATTAACATTTGATTTATTCATATATGTTCATATTCATATATGACATATGGAGGTAAACGAATGACTTTGGATTTTGGTCTGCGGAATACCTACACTTGGTCGTTCATCATTGCAGACGTTTCATCCCCAATCCACGGTATCGATTTTCTACAGCAACACAAACTAGTAGTTGGTCCGATAAGCCCTAAGCTAATACACTGACTCAATAAAATATACATCGCTGGTACGATTAGCCGTGGATCATCGTTGAACGTAATGGTCACACGCACACCACCGTCTCCATATTATCATTATTTCCCTTAATTCCTAGAGGAACACAGGGCTTCAGCCGTGCGTCTCTATTGAGTTCGGTTCTCTGCTAGAGTCTTCACCTGGCTCCAAGTCTACCCAAATGCTTTCATCTCCTCTTCACATGACCTCCTCCAAGTCACCCTTGCACTGACGACCAACTCGCCGCTTCCCTTTCGGGTTCCACTCGAACAATGGCTTGTCTAGTGATGTCACTTGATGGTTTGTTTCCTCAGAGTATGGCCAATCCACCTCCATTTCCTTCTGCATATTTGTTTCACAATCGGTTCCTGGTTGGTTCGCTCCCAGAGATCTCTGTTGCTGATCTTTTCTGACCGGCCATCTTATCTTGAGTATTGAGCGAAGACAACTGTTAATGAAGGTCTGTAGTTTGTTTGAGATGCTGTTTATGACGCGCTGGCCAAGTCTCTGATCCGTATAGTAGCACTGACTGACTTCACATCGGAGTTGAAAATCCGGATGTTATTTTTGATGCTGAGTGCTGTTGACCTCCACACAGGCTTGAGAGTAGTGAAAGATTACCTTGCTTTCCCGATTCTTGCTTTGATATCCTCGTCAGTTCCGTTCGCCTGTAGTTGAAACGATGCTTCCCAGGTAGGTAAAGGAGGTTGTTTCTTTCAGGTTCCTTCCATTTATGCTGAATGTTGTTGTTCTTGTACAGGAATCTTCATCACCTCTGTTTTCTCTATGTTCACCTGAAGTCGTCTCTGTCTTTGATGCTTCGTCTGCCAACTTGTTGTTTTTCGCCTGCATATCTTCCAGTTTGTGGGAAGTCAGACATATATCATCGGCGAAGTCTAGATCCTCCAAGTTTATCGTGTGAGTCCATTTTATGCCTGTTTCCTTGGTGCCCGCTGCTGTCTGTCGCACTATCCAGTCTACTGCAATCAGGAAAATCATTAGAGATAGTAGGCAGCCTTGTCTTACTCCTGTCCTCACTTCGAAGTATTCCGTAAGTTTCCCGTTGTGGATTACTTGGCATGCAGCATTGTCGTACAGCTGTTGGATGAGATGTATAATTGTCAGTGGCACCCCGGTGTAGCTCAGTTGTTTCCAAATCACCTCTCGATCGACGGTGTCTGCTAAAGACCTTTTCAAAGTCGATGAAGTTGAGATAGAGAGGTGATTGCCATTCCAAGCTTTGTTCAATGATGATCCGTAGTGTGGCGATCTGACCAATATATGACTTGTTTCTTCTGAATCCATCTTGTTCCGGTCGAAGTGTTTTAATCTAGGGCTTGTTTGATTCTCTCCAGGATGATGCGGCTTAGTATTTTGCTTGGGATGGACAGGAGCATAAATCCGCGCCAGTTCTTGTATTGACTTAAGTCTCCTTTCTTTGGCATCTCCATATACTGACTTGGTAAATCAGTTTCCTGGCCTTTTACAACCTTCTTTTCGAGGAACAGAACCAAGGCATCACGTGTTTCATCATATTAAAACCACTGGACCACCAGTTTTTGCACGTCCCCGACGCCTTGACCCACATCGACTTAAGATCGCAAAAACAGAGTTCGATAAAATGCTAGAGATTGATACTATTTGACCACTCAACAGCTCTTGGTCTTCACCGCTTCACATGGTACCCAAAAAGTCTTCTGGTGAGATACGGCCGCGTGGTGATTATCGAGCCTTAAACAAGCAAACGGTACCTGATCTATACCCAATACCTCATATCCACGATTTCGCTAGCAACTTACCAGATATTAAAGTTTTCTCTAAAATTGATCTTGTCAGAGCGTATCATCATATCCCCATCCACCTGGATGACGTTCCGAAAACCGCCATTATCACACCATTCGGTTTATATGGCTTCGTACGCATCCCCTTCGGACTAATGAACGCCGCTCAGACATTTTAACGCCTAATCGATCAAGTACTCTGTGGTCTCCCTTTCGTCTACGCATACATCGACGACTTACTAATTGCAAGTGCCGACGAAGCCGAGAATTTGAATAATGTGAAGACCACGTTTGAAAGACTTAGCCAATACGGCATGACTATCAACTTAGACAAATGCGAATTTGGTAAGACCTCACTGAAATTCCCCGGTCATTTAATCGACAGCCAAGGAATCAGACCAGTCCCTGATGTTGTACAAGGTATCAAAGATTATCCGTTACCCGATTCTTTTAAGAAATTACGGTTAAGTCAAGAGTATTTTCATTTCTTGTAGGGAGGCGTACGCACTGCTTCCATCCGTCTACGTCTATAGCTTGTAGTAGTTCGTCATGGATTCTAGGTCCTGTACAGGTATCCCAGTTTACTCCAGGTAAGTTGAAATCGCCACAGACTACTTTATAGTCAAAGTCCAGCGAAGCTACATGCTCTAGTATTTCTCCAATAGTTATATCAGTCATTTCAGAGCTATTAGGGGGTCTGTATGTGCATCCCACGAGAATTTTATTTTCGTTTGTGTGGATGCTTATCCACTTAGATTCAGGGAGTTTGTCAGTAGTTGGGTTGTTGAAAGTATTGGAGTTAGTGGATTTAGAGGCATATATTAAGCAGCCGCCTCCTCTTTTGTCAACTCTACCGTTCCTATAGATGTCGTAGTTACTAGCTTTCAGTCAGGTATATCAGTAGTAAGCCAGGTTTCAGTCACCATTAATAGTGTTGGCCGTTCTATGTATGCCAGGCAGCGAAGCGATGTTATTTTATTAAGGAGAGATCTAGCATTCAGTAGCATAATCGTTAGTAAACCAGAGTTATTGGAGGAGAGGTTAACATGGTTACTTGTTACTATCCCTACGTTATGTCATCAACTATTCTGATAATTAGGCAACTAAGTGGTTATTGCACATGTATTTCTCCACAGCAACCTAGCCAGATCAAAATCAAGTTCATTATTTATGCATACCAATATATATAATTCCTTTGTACATAGGAAAAGCTGTCAATTTTAGCAAACATGAGTCTGGTATTTAAATATTATGTTTATTCAGGTACTCTTTATATTAGATGAAAGCAGGGATACTTGTGAATAGCTGGTCGTTTGCTGGTTGGTAGATGACAACATTAATATAAACATAAGTATAACTGCGTTACAATTTTTATAGACTCTGCCGTAACCATACGTGCTGTTTATAGGAGGTATTTTGCACGTAAATTGACTTAGTGATCTGTCTGTTGGTTTGAAAAATAAACCTCGCAGTCTTTCGTCCCGTTTTTAATATTTCTGGTATTGAGACTGAAATAATTATTGTAAGGCATTTCAAAATCGAGATTACTATCTTTCGTTTACCTTGGCCACGTCTAATCTTTTCCATGACAGGAGGTATAATAATGACCATTACACCATTCTGACTTCCTTCAACACAGCATGTGTCAGTTACGGTATCAGGAAAATTTGCTGTAGCCGGAAGAAAGAGTACGCGAATGACCAACTCAGTTTAAACGCAGGCGGTATTTGAGGACAGACAGTAAGTCGAAGATTGATTGATCAGCCAAGTATAAGCCAATATAGCAAGTTAACTACTATAACTACAGCAAGAAAAAAGTCAACAAATGACGCCAGTATAGTACACATTGATACTGACGATCGTATTGCTCTGGTCTTCTGTCGACGAGAAAAGATCTAAGCCAGGACAGGGATTGTTGACTGCAACGAATGAGAAACTGTTCCGAATAAATAAGTACACTACAGGTCCATTCAGTGTCCATTATCACTGACACTATGCGATTAAAATAATCTAGGACACCACAGAAATTTAGTAGTAATGGAGATAGAACAAGTACCTAAAAATCATTTCTTCCATTAATACGGGGGCGAGTGAGCTCTACCAAAAATACTCTACACTCCTCGGTAAGGGGTATATCTTAGGCCTGTATTAACAGCGACTTTGCAATTTGTCTTTAAAATGATATCTTCGAAAACTACACACACACAAGAATGCTGTTTATTGGCAGTTCATGACTTACCACACTTAGATGCAAAATTAAACTTTCAAGTGTTGTCCGATAGCCAAAGCTATACAACATGGGTAAACTTTCTGCAAACAACCTGGTGACACTGAAATCCCCAGCTTGTAGCAACGGACAGAATGACCGTGGCTTATTTCTAAGTGATGTCAACTTTGTGATGACTGACATCAGAACTGTATGGAGTTTGGCTCTCGATTTGTTGGGGACTTTACGGACAAAGAAATTACTTTTTTATTTGTGCTTCAACCACGATCAATCAAATTGTAATCAATACAGTCTTCACCTCAAAAATGTTCCCACTTCAGTAGCATCTCTTTGGACTGCAGAACGGATAGCACTGTCTCTTTCCCTTGGCATTTGCCCTTGGTGTCTGAAATTTTCTTACGTATCCCGTAAATATAAAACTAGCCAGATTTCTAGTATAGAAAGTTATCAATCTATAAACACCACTTCTATGGTATCTAGAAACATGCGAAATGGTCACTGGGTATGATACTGATGTGCACTAACGGACTATGTGCTTCAGCAGGATGCTGCTACTAGAAAAGCCGATTGTGACCTACCTACTTACTTGAAAGCCTTGGTGATATGTTTGCCTGCCAGACGATTCTGTTTCCACTTATCCAGTGTTATCAAAAATTGATTTCTTCAAGATAGGTGTAGCCTGGCCTCAGAATTGAAGTGAAAACATCAGAGAAATCAATTTTTTAATCCTTAAAAGTAGTCATCCATGTAACTGTAATTTCTAAAACGAAAAGCAGTAATAATAAATCGAAGTATAAGAATTGGATGTTGTGCAAGCGGTTGTTCAAATAGTTGTTATACAACAAGGATTATGTTTCGTTTTGGGGATGTAAATACACATTGTTTTCAGTTCTACTTTTTCATTATTAACTATGAAAACATAATTTCATGATAAGGTAAGTACTTTCCGCCAGCTGATCAAATTCATTTGTAAGCCCTGGTTACGTCTTTGTTGTGAATTGCCTTGATAAGTATTTATTCATCCATTTATATATTTTAATAGTTTAGCTTTATAAGTATTGTGTAAACGCCAGCGAATTCACTCAAATAAGGTGTTCAACCATAGCTATTTGCTTGTTGGATCTTTTTCTGTCATACTCTTACGTCGAGACTTAAGATTGTCGTCGGAGGTTTCTACTACTCTCCTATCCCATAAGCTTATAAAGTTGAGAGTATTTTGTAAAACTAGTGTTTCATTAGTTTCTAGATATCAGCATCCATTCTTACACGAGTTGTACACGAAGGATCTTTGTGTTGTGTAGTTGCACAATCATGATTAGAATAGGTTAGATATAAGTGTAACATTTCAGATTCGCTGATTGAGAATAGAAGGCTCAAAGTCTATGATAATCCTTAAGAGCGCTAACATCACTTATCCAGGAGTTGTTGACTGAGAACCAATACTCCACGGCGACATGGTTTCGCCTTGAACCATCTAGCTATGCCCTCTAAGGTGTTCCAACCTGGTGGGAAAGAGAAGAGAGAATAGATCAGGTTCCTAATCATTATTTAAGATTTTAAACATTGTACTATAAACTCTTCACTTCCAATAGTTAAATGTTTCCTCGTATGATAAATTCGTCATGCCAAGAATCATATGTGTTGCCTTCCTTTGAACCCTTTCTAGAATAAATGAGTTCCCTTTAAAACAAGGACTGGCTGCCTGGATACAGTTTCCCAGTCTTGACCTCACCATAGATGTATTTAAAGAGGCAAAGGCTCTGTGAATTGCCCATAATTGTCTGAAACTACGTGCTGCCACCACGTGACAGTGTACTGTAGTTTATATGACACCTGAATCCAAATGTGTCTGAACTGATGGGACTGTTATTCTCTCTATTTCATAGGGACTTGACCCTTGCCTGTCCAATGCCCTGTTTTCTGCAATTAAACCTCGGATATTTCAATAATTTAAACGTTAATTATAATTCGGGCTTCCTGCTAATGTGTCACATTGACCAACATGTGGTTAACTAAGCTGCATACAAACGATTCTGTTTTACTGCTTGTGGTGTATTTAATTAGATTGATGTGTGCTGTTATCTACTTGTCGTCTTGATAGCCATTACATTAAACAATATTTTTTACCGGAAGAAGAGGGAAGAATCTCGTTGACTTAGAATAGGCGGACGATATAGTCCTTCTAGGCGAGGACTCTGACAAAATGCAGAGTCTACTGAACACCTTGAGCTGCAATCTAAGAATGTTTGGCATGCTATTCGCCCCTGTAAAATGTAAGATGATGCTGCAGGATTGGACTTCACCGACCCCTAGATTAGAAATAGGAAGTGAAGTGGTAGACCACGTTGACCGCTTCAATTAATTGGGAAGTACCATCAGCCCCAACGGGTTGATCTCAGACGAAATATCAGCACGAATACAGAGGGCTAGGTTTGCATACGCCAGTTTGCGCCGTCTCTGGCGTAGACGCGATATCCGACTATCGACCAAAGGGCGTGTGTACTGCTCAACAGTCCGCTCCGTCCTTCTTTATGGCTGTGAGACCTGGCCATTGAGAGCAGAAGACATGAAAAGATTAGCTGTCTTCGAACATAGGTGTCTGCGTTCCATCTCCCGCGTGAAGTGGTATAATAAGGTGAGCAATATTGAGGTTAGGCGTCGAGTGCTAGGTAAGGAGGGGAAATCAATCGATGAGACTGTGAAATTACATCGACTGAGGTGGTTGGGACATGTGTTACGTATGCCTAGTCATCGCCTTCCTCGACAATGGGCAATGTTAGCTGATATAGGGTCAGGCTGGAAAAGGGATAGCGGTGGTCAACCGGAAACATGGCTTCACCAGTCAATGAAATCCACAACAGTTAGTCTAAGTCACAAAGGAAGGTGTAGACTTCCTGACTAGTTGGGGTCCTCGGGACGGTACAAACCAATGGTTGGAAACAATTGGCGATATGGCTCAAAATCGTTCTCAGTGGCGCAGATGCATCCACTCCTTGTGACTTATGATCTCCGATAAAACTGTTTTGTTCTTCGTTATTACTATTCCTTTGTTTCACACCTCTGTTTACTGTCTCTGATAAGCATTTCTCCTACTTTCTTCTCTTCCTTTGTGTGCTACAAGGAGTGTGGCGACTTGAACTGGCGCACATATGTGCAAAGTTCTATGTCGAAAACAGACAGACAGACAGACCGGAATTGTTAATAAAATGAGCGTCATAAATGGGTTAAAGCATAGAATAAAAATAATGACAAACTGCAACTCAGGAACACTGTAGAGCACTGTGTAATTTAAATGTGTTAGATTTGAAAATTCACTGCATTTTTCCATACTGAAGTAGTCAGTATAGGTTTGATGATGTTATCCATTAGCTGACATTCAGATGTCTAACCCGTTTAATTTAATTTCCCATATAGTGGTGTGTGTTTCTCGGTAGTTAATGTTTCCTCGTGTCTTTCAGTGTCTTATACAGGCTGGTTTGATTTGTCGGTTTAATCAATCAATCTTGGAACTTACATAAATTTTCCGGGTTGCTTTTCCTCAGGCATAAATAGGCATACACAAACATATTTCAAAATGTTAGAAATTTCCATTCGGTAATTGATTTGGTCAGCTAAGAAAGAACTATATCTCTGTGGAGTAGTGGGTACGACACCAGTGGAAGATATGTAAAGGCTATCTATCTTTGGTCATGAATGTCTGCGATCTATCTCCCATGTTAGGTGGTAGATGTAATAGGGTAACCATTATTGAGGTTAGGCATCGAGTGTTAGGTAAGGAGGTACAATTAGTCAACGAGGTTATGGAGTTACATCGATTAAAACGGCTAGAACATATGTTACGCATATCGCCTTCCTCAATGACGAATGTCAACTGACATAGGATGAGGTTGGAAAAGAGAAAGCTAGTGGTGGTTAAGACAAAACTTGGAATCAGTCCATGAAACTGTTGATAGTTAGTTTGAACCAGCCACGTAGAGAGGTATAAACTGTCTGGCTGAGATCATCTGAATTCCAAGAACTAATGAAGGCTAGAGACAATTGGTGACATGGCTTGAAATCACTCTCATCAGCGGAGATGCATTCATTTTTTGTGATCTATATCCATTAATTCGTATTGTTTTTTCATGATACTATTCCTTCTCCGTCACATTTCTGCTTACTGTTGTTTTTTTGAGTCTCTATTTTCTCTTTTGTGCTAGATGGAGTGTGGCAGCTCGAACTGCTACATTTCTGTGCAAAGTTCTACGTTTCAGCTAGTCAGTCAGTCAGTCAGTCAGGTGTCCACATGGAGTCTTAAACTCCTCGAACAAATCTCTCCAGAAGAAGTAGTGTCATTGCCCTCAGTTGCCTAATTCAAGAAGGGGTCTAGAAAAGCACAGACACTTATTAGACAGAAGATTAGCATGAGTTCTAAGCCTTCTAACTTCAATCTCTCTTGTCTACTGACGTGTTTATCAACATTTTGCTGCACAAAAGTGCACCACTTCAACTTACCACACTTCTTTAAATCACACAATGATTGAGAAAAGAATTGTAATTTTAATAAACGCAATTAAATAATTAGGTGAATATTAGTGAACTTTTTGAGAATCTGAATAATGACAGAAGGAGAGAGAGTGAATATATGCTTTCCATTTTAAACGATTTCAAGCCTTATTGCAAAGTTTCAGACCATTAGTTCTTAGTGTTTCGAACACCTGTAAGCAGATAGTCTGTAACTCTCTGCATGGCTCAAACCAATAGTCAAAAACTTGACGAATTGCTGTCATGACACATATGCGAGGGCCCGTGTAACATTTGTAAAACCTACTGCACAGCAGTTCGCTCCGTTCTTCTTTATAGGTGTGAGACATGGTCATTGAAAGCGGAAGCCTTGACGAAGCAAGTTGTCTTTGACCATGAGTATCAGTGTTCTGTTTGCCGTGTTGAGTGGTATAACATGGTGAGTAATATTGAGGTTAAGCGTAGGGTAGTAGATAAAGAGGGGAAGTCAGTCAATGGGGTTGTGAGGCTAAGTCGATTGGGATGACTAGAACACATTATATATGCCGAGCTATTGTCTTCCTCGATGAGCGATGATAGGTTGGAAAAGAGTCAGGGGTTGTGAAATCAAACCTGGCATCAATCTATGAAGCCTATGGTTGCTGGTTTAAGGTAGCCACGTAGACAGGTGTGGACTGCCTGGTTGGGGTCCTCAGGATCCTATGACCCATTGACTTGACAGTGTTCGTGATGTTTCAAAATCTCCTTCATTGGTGGAAATGCATTCACTCTTTGTAATTGTCCAGGTCCATTATATCCTCATTTCCCCCATGTGTTTGTTCTCTCTCCCATGCATTCCTCTCAATAATTGTTCTTGTGAATTATCCTCTCTTTCTGTACCATTCTGTGCTATATAGAGTGTGGTAACTTGAACTGTTACACTACTGTACAAAGTTCTACGCTAAAACTCAGACACTCATTTATCAACGAGAGTTTTTTCCCTTCTTATCAGTTGGGATGATCAACTGTTGACGTGTCCGTTGGAAGTATCACAGAATGCCACACACTACTGCTTTGCCTCGTTTTAGACTAGAAATAGCTTTTGTGATTATTTTTACTTCGCGAAATATACCCATTAAGACATTGAAATAAGAACAAATTAGTTCAGCGAAGAGTCTCTTTTCGGCGAATTCATTCACTTAGCTGTACAGTCGCAAATATGTATACAATTATTTTGTGTGTGTGTGTGTGTGTGTGTGTACATTAGGTTTGTCAAAGTCAAAATAACAGTTAGTGTGGGTTGTTGATTATATCATCAAAATAATGAAGAAGTTAACATGTGTGATTAATAATCAAAGTTGTAACTAAGTGGGGTGAAGATTGGTAAGATGTGAGTAGGGTTACGTAATATAGACATGTTTAAAAAGATTAGAGGAGACAATTATGAAAATAA